TTATGTATCTATTGATTACTAGTTGCAGGAAATAAGTGAGTCACTTTTTTTGCACAGAGTTTTTCCCTAAATCTCATTCATATCCAAATATTCAATAGAATACCTTAGGGTGAGTAATTTTTTTTTTATTAGGTGGTCGAGAAGGGGTCTTTATATTAGTAAGATTAAAAATTAGTTTGATCCCTAAAACAATAGGCGAAAAAAATTTTAAGTAAAAAAAATCAGGGGAGTCACTTCTTTCATTTTACTTTTTTCTTTTTCTTTTTTCTCTTTCTTCTTTTTATCCCGTATATTTGTCCTCATGGATTGATTCTATTTCTTAAAATCATTCGATCTGAAGAGATGAATATAACAATATTCGTAAAATAAATTATAAACGAGATGTATTTTTAAGCTGTATTCTTACTTTATCATATATATATATATATATATATATATATATATATATATATATATATATATATATATATATATATATATAAGCGCAGGTATGCAGAAAATAGAAAAAGAACACATTGGGTGCATAATCCGGAGTTCCTTAGTATTTTGTTTTATTTTTTTTAAGACAGTGCTCCATACAGAAGTAGAGCTTATATTATAATATTTTCTTGTTTAAAAATATGATTCCTTCGCTACATAAGAGTTCTTATGTTTCAAAAACGAGAGCCGAATTATCAAATAATTATTAAAATTAAGTTAAATTGGTGTTTTAGTCCGTTTCATCTTCAAGTGAATCCTAAAATTTCGCTTGAAGATGAAACGACCAAACACCTCAATTCAACTTAATTTTAATAATTATTTGGACGGTTTCGGCTCTCGTTTTTGAATCATGAGAACTCTTATGTAGCGAAGGAATCATATTTTTAAACAAAAAAATATTATTATATATATATATATATATATATATATATATATGTAAATTACATTAAATTACTAAATTAAATATATAATGATAATAGTCATTTTCCGAATGACTTAATATTTATAATTTTTATAGGATAAGTAAAAAAAAGAAAGAAAAAAAACAGTGTTATTTTGAAAAATAGAGTTAAGGCCAATATTTTAAAAAAATTTAAAGCAAATAAAACTGTTTGTAATTGAAACAAATATTACGATGAAGACCAGAAATTCCTGCAGTTATTTGACAGGTCCTGAGAAAGTGACTTGACCTATGAATATTTGACTTGCCACTTGCTAAATATTAAGGAAATAAAATTTTGTGGGGTTGTTCAAACACCGAAGGAGAGAAAAAGAAAGAAAAAAAAAACTATTGCGATTCGCCTTGTGATCAGACATACGGGGGTGGACACGAATTTACAAGGTCTAGTATTTTTACAACATTTTTAAAGTAATTAAGATGCCAGACCGTGCAAATCGTGGACAATTTTGTTGTCTTTATCTTAAGGCTACAGCATAAGACACGAGACTTGAACGGGCACTGGTTGAAAGAGATGACAAAACATCAGGGACACGAGACCTGAACGGGCGCAGGTTGAAAGAGATGACATATGTTTGTTTATGACGCCAATGACAGATAAATAAAGAAATAAAGTAAGTGAAAAAGAAAAAAAAATCATTTTATAAGAAAGCCGCATTGAGTCTAAATTGATAGGAAGAGGTTATTATATGCGACAGGTTGTCTACCAAGAAGAACAAGATTTGATTTTATTTAGCATTCAATTTATATGTTTCATTTGAAGTACTGTAGGTTCACCTGTGTCAAACGAGTTTGAATCATTATAATCTATCTATCTATCTATCTATCTATCTATCTATCTATCTATCTATCTATCTATCTATCTCAGTCTCATCATATTTATCTTGTCTTTCATATCTATCTATCTATCTATCTTGCAATTTATTCATATCTATCTATCTATCTATCTATCTATCTATCTATCTATCTATCTCAGTCTCTTCATATTTATCTTGTCTTTCATATCTATCTATCTATCTATCTATCTATCTATCTATCTCATTCTGTTCATCTATCTATCTATCTATCTATCTTGCAATTTATTCATATCTATCTATCTATCTATCTATATATATATATATATATATGATCATTTATATAATAATGATTATATATAATGATTATATATATATATTAGAATTATTATATATATATATATATATATATATATATATATATATATATATATATATTATTTATTTAAAAATATGATTCCAACTCGCGACATAAGAGGTCTCATCTTTCAAAACAAGAGCCGAAAACTTCAATATAATTATTTGAATTAAATTGAGTTAAAGTAAGCTCTGTTCCATCTTCAAGCGAAATTTTTTTTTTGGAATAACGTATTTCTGAAATTTACGTGTTTTAATAATTGAAATCAAAAATCAAAATTTCCATGGTAACAGCTAGGGCGAATTGTTTAAATTGGGTAGGCATGTGCTGGGTGTTAATAATAAGTATCAGTATATATATATATATATATATATATATATGTTTGTGTGTGTGTGTGTGTGTGTGAAAATATATAGAAAAGAGCTCGTTCGGAAATAATCCGAAGTTCTTTAGTATTTTTGTTTTTATTTTTAAAAAAAACAGTGCTCGATACGAAAGTAGAGCCTAAATATAATTATTTATTTAAATAATCAAATCCTATCAATTATTTATTACAGCTCCTGCTTTTGAAACATGAGAACTCTTGTGTAGCGGAGGAATCATATTTTTAAATAAATAATTATATATATATATATATATATATATATATATATATATATATATATATATATATATATATATACAGTGGCCTAAGTTTTAGCAAGGAGATATAAACTACATCCAATTTCAAAATTTAATTACGTAATCCTTATTCAACTTAAACAAACAGTATTTGGAACTAATATGGAGTAGGTCCTCCATTTGCTAGTTTCCGTTCTTGTATTCGATTTTTCATGGATTTGATCAAGTTATCAACAGTTAAATTCATGTAGTTTAGGAACCAGTGGAAGTAGCTCGTCAGAGTAGTTGCCTTGAAAATACTTGTAGAAAGGACAGATGAGAGTCACTGTTCGTCTGTGTGATAGTAACTGTAGACGAGATGCCAGATCAGGACCTATCACATGACATATCCGTCTCTGGATTTTTTTCGATGTCCTCGAGATGAACAGCGGGGACACCCGACCATATATAGTAGCAGTATTCAATGAAAGGACGAATGGTTGATTTGTAGATTTGAAGGCTGGAATCAAGCCAGAAAAGCCTTCTGACACGACACAGAGAAAGATTTTCCTTGCAATAGATGAAGCTATAGATTCAATATAGTTGTTCCACGTCAGTAGATGAGGCTATAGATTCAATGTAGTTGTTCCAAGCAGGACTAACGAAGCGCTCTCGTGGAGTTGGACATCTCCCCTTCTGATGGGAGGTAGAGAGGCTTCTCTATGGTGGGTAAAGGAGAGCAGTTTCGTTTTGGAAGCATTAAAGTTTACAAGCCATTTCCTGCCCCAGTCAACCACAGATTGGAGATCCTTTTCGAGACCAGCAGCCAGGTTAGTTTTGACAGCGATGTTGGATTTACTATTGAGGCAGGAATAAATAGTAGTGTCGTCCGTGTAGATGCCTACTTGGAAACTGATGACATCAGGAAGATCATTGATGAAGATCAGAAACAGTGTAGGACCAAAGATAGAACCATGGGAAACACCAGCGTTCATATGAAAAGAACTGTAAGAGCACCCGTTTAAGACAAATTTCTATACATATATATTTCGTAAAATACATCTATTGGATGTTTTAGTACACATCATCAGTGACGTTTCTAACCGAGGAAATTTAGGTTCAAAATATTGTTTTTCTTTCGACAACGAAACTAAAATTAAAAAATATTATAAAACCAAGTAATATTTTATAACAAGACTTCAAATTCTGATGAATGAAGCATGCACAAGTGACACTGGAACAAGAAATGCAATTTTTTTGCCGAGAATGATATAAGAAAGAGCAATACAGATAGACTAGTATGTGGCTAGTTCGTGAAAGAAGAATATGATTCGTTTTAACGTTATATATTTTCTTTTTCTTTTGGGTTTTGTAAAATCAGCAAGCTACAGCTGAAATTTCTGGAACACGTAAGGAGAAAGGAGGGTTTGGAGAATCTGATACTCACAGGTCGAATATGTCGAACAATCACGTGGTCAAGATAAACACTCAGTTGTGGAGCAAGCTGAGTCAATACTAATTCAACATTGAGAAAGAGTTATTTATGGTGCAATGGAGCATCTCATTATGCTAAATTGGGATAGTCCATTGCTTGGGCTGTGATTGGCTGCTGGTACCTGAGTGGAAGTATTTCTATATAAATACCAGCTTGATTTCTCAGTTAGTTTGCAGGGTTTGTATTAAGTTACAACCTGCTTTATTTTTGTCTGCCAGCTGGACGCTAGCTGGGACTCTTACGCCGGTAAGTGTTGTTTATTGTATTGTTATTCTACAGAATAGAGGGAAAGAGAGACAAGGGAAAGCAACGCGTGATATACCTAGCGGGCTTAAGCAAGGGGATGACAGAACAACCTAGAGGAAGCAACAAAGGGACAAAATTATTGAGAGCTACAAGCGATAGACGGAAATGGAGAACCATGATCGCCTACGTCCTGAAGGGACACGGCACATAAAAATAAAAAAGAAAGGATTTAACGCTTTTTTAAAAGTAATTACAAAATCGATGTATTTGAAATGTAAAATGGCTTTTTTTTAAAAGAAATTGATTGATTGATTCGTTTGCTACAGCTTATCAATCATTTGCAGGTTAATTAAAGCCAGAAAATGATTTTGGATTGTGAGATTTTTTTTGGAGATAATATTGGCTTTACTAAAGTTAGTCGTACTAATTAAACCACAGCGGGGAGAGAAGAGTTGGATTCATGCCTTTCCCCAAGGATATTTGTGCGTAAGTGAATATAACGAATTAGAACTCGGCTCTCCGATTAACAATTCCCGGCCATTATCCATTAACATCACCAGCAAATCCAAGCTTACAGCACCTAGTATTGCCAAACGGTCACCCATCTGGGTACTGACCAGGCTCAACATTGCTTAACTTCGGTGATCGCATATGAACCGGTGTTTCAACGTGATGTGATCGTAAACCTTTCTTAAAGAAAGAAAAATTGATCGGATGAGTGATTTCAAATCTATATAAATAAATGAGAATGTCAGTGTGTCAACTTGTCACACGTTTTTTTAACTTTACCGCTAGAAACCATTGCCCCAAATATCACACCATATTGGAATCAGGCCAACAACGTGAGTAAATTAAAAACATTCTGAGCCAGAGCCTGACCCACAATCCTGAAATTGTAGATTTCCATGTTTTCATTATTGTGATTGTTTTTACGTGATTTTTTGCGACGAATTTCTTTTGTACGATAACAATTTTCCTAACTTTAATTTAGGAATAATCGAAATTAATTGCGAGACCCTGCGAAAGTCACACATGAAATAAAAATAATTGTTTCCTACGTACATCAAATTGTCTTTAAATTAAGTGGCGGCAGAGGAATTATTGTTGAACCTTTAAAAGGTACGCTTAAATATTAATGCAATACTTAAATACTTGGAGTTCTTCCGTAGTTTATTTATGCCTATGGCATACGGCAGCAATATGCCTCGCTAAAAGAAATCTCCACCAACAGAGAACCAGATTGCAATCAAAAGAACCAAGGCTGCAGTGAGGAAAGGAAAGTTTCGTGCAAATTAAAAGGTAGATTAAACAGCAGCCAGGAGAGCTTCCAATGCTGGGAATATGCAAAGACTCCTGAAGAAGCCTACGGTCCAATCAAGAGCTCTCCGCATGAGGTAGCTTATATGCTGCCCGATAGGGCGGCTTTTAAGCTAATCATAAATATCTAAGCATCATGGGTTGATGAAGATGCTAGCTATGTTTTGGGAGGAAAAGTGCGCCTTATATAGCGAGATATGCACTGTCTTTCTTGAAGCTTAGGATTTACCCAGATTTACGGAGAGCCTTCAAAATGATTGTAGCAAAAATTTTATGAAAAAACTAAACAAATATTTTTCTATTTGTTTGCTTCAAAATAAAGTTAAACTTCCGTTTTATAACCTGTATGAACCGGAAGCATTTCCATGTAATAGATGTTTACGCTGATTTTAAAACAACCCACTTTTCAGCAGCATTGCAAAAATTGAAGCAAGAACCTCAAATTTATTATAAAATATATTTGGAAAAGCAAGGACATTTCTTTGTTTTTAAAAATAGTAAATAAAATATTAACCCCTAAAAATTTACAAATAGATAATTCGTTACTAATACGCAGGCTTAGGTCGATATATATATATATATATATATATATATATATATATATATATATATATATATATATTAAAAGAAAAGAGAAAACTGCAAACGTTTTTGGCTGTAATTTTTTTAAAATCCACATTACAACAAAAACGTTTGCGGTTTCAATCTGCTTTTTAATATACAAAATTTTCTGTCGTTGGAACTACTATAACCTCTCTCTCTCTTTCTCTCTCCCTCCCTCCCTCTCTCTCTCTCTCTCTATCTATATATATATATATATATATATATATATATATATATATATATATATATATATATAGTCAGCTTATCCTCATGTTTCATTAAATAATATAGACATATTATGTATATTAATTTTTTATAATAATCCATTCTAGTTCTCTAATTATATTCTTGCTGTAAAGTTGAAATTCATCAAGGGAGGCTCAGTATTTTTGTTAACCCAAGTACTTTCGATCTCCTCCTAGATCTCCCACCACTAGGGGTGAATTGCGAAGACAAACTTAATGTAACTGTTGTCGTTGTGATGGTGATTTTTGCAAAAAAAAAAAAAAAAAAATATTGTACACTGACCAACATTACCTCAATTTAAATGTCCTTTAGTAGATTTGACAAAAACGTAAGTGCATATATTGGCTCAACTACAACAACATTATCAAGACGTCTTACACATCATTTGTCAGATACAATATCTATCGTCTAACATTTGAGGGTACATTCCTGTCCACCTTCACAATACAGATTATTCTTGTTGTCAACACCGATATACTACACCATTAAAATAATAAACATCAAATTCACGAGGCACTCTATATCAAAAGCAACCAACCAACATTTTTTTTTATTATTAAGAGTTTAGTAGCAATGTTTTAAAATTCATTTGTGTTGACTGACACTTAACACCATCTAGCATTTTACCATTACTGGCTTGCCTCCTGGCATTGTGATCGCTTTTTTACAAAACATCGTAACCACAACGGTTAATTTTAAAATAATTACAACAGAGCATGTTCTTGCGTGTTTACAAAACTCAACATCACAACAATTAGAGTTACATTAAGTTTGTCTTCATAAGTCACTCCTGGGGATTTAAAGTACTTAAGTTAAGAAAAAATACGGCGCCTACCTTGATGAATGTCTACATAAAGATCGAGAAGAAAAGTAGGCATAAATTGTCTATATTATTTAATGAAACATACCACGTGTAACAGTAAAATTGTTCAATTGTTAGATTAAGCCTTGAACTGTTGTATCTTTGAAATGATTAAAGATATGTTACTGGAATTCTCCGAGGTTTTTATAACACTATTGGGCGCTCTTTGAACAATAAGAATGTATTTAGCTCTAAGTTGAAATGATGATGCCTCTTCCTGTTGTGGCCTCCTGATCCAGTTTACCTTTCTACTGTTCCCTCTTTTTTAAACTTATTCACTGTTCTCTTGATGGGTCTTAAAAGGATTTTGAAGATGAAAACCAGAGTATGAATGTTGGTACCATTATTGAAGGCTTGAATGATCTTTTTCCTCTCACCATTGATCAGTTGGGAAGACATAGTGGGGCTGACACAAAAGGATTTTAACATTTTCTCTTTCGAGAGGAATAACACAAAGGATTTTTCAGTGATTCTTAAGACAAATGGTACCAAGATGGCTAAGTGTCTTAACTTAAAACCTGGCTAAAACAAACTCAATTAGATTTTTAGTTATTAAACATTTTGTGGGATGGACAATTATGCCGTTACACAAGGTATATATATATATATATATATATATATATATATATATATATATATATATATATATATATATATATATACACACACACACACACACACATACACACACACATATATATATATATATATATAATGGTGGGCTACTTGTTTTCAGAGCACATTCGTTTGTTAGGGCGACTAGACATTCCCTGTTGCAGATGCCTGCTCAGTCATGTTTGTGTTTGTTCAACAACAAATGACATATGGCTCGGACTAGCACAACACTCAACGGCTTCCGAAAAGTTCCATCTACCCATTTCCACTAATAAAGCTTTGGTCAACTGATGGCATGGTTTACGGCCATTTTTTTTCAAAAGTGTTACACGCTGGAATCGTTCCCGCCAGAAGCGATGACATCAAGAAGTCACCTTTCTAATAAATCGACCCTGGTGAGATTCGAACCCGGGCCTCGTGGTTGGAAAGGGAATCTCCTAATCCCTTGAAAAACAAACGGAAATTTAAAATTAGGATAATCCTCTTGTATAAGATGCCGTAGAAATACCTCCCACACCTACCTCCCACACAATGGTAAGATAATAGCGAGATGAAGACAACATTGACATTAATGTCTTTCTATTACCTGGAAGGTATTTCTCAGGGGTAAAAAAATGGGGGCTATTTCTGTCTCAAGCTGTCCTTTTTTTTCCTGACTTTCGTTAATAAGCGAGAAAAAATAAGAAGAATTCTCTTGGACTCGAAGCTATTTTAGTCAAAGTCTATTTCTTGCCTCGAAAAGAAAAAAAAATAAAGAGTTTTATTTAGAGAACCAAGATTAAGATGAAATCTCACTGACATTTTTTTGATAACTGGTTTTACTGAAACGTATAATTCTACTTTGTTAAACGCCAACAATAACAATTGACTTTGTGCCACGTTAAGTGAAGATGAAAACTAATTTCCAAAATCAAAAGTTACATAAGCTTCTTACGAATGAGATAACACAAGATTTCGGAAACATGTTTTCAGTTATTTCTAATATTTAGCTGGTTCATTAAAATATGCAGATGATAAAACATACCGTTAAGCAAACAAAATTTTGGTCAAATGAATAAAGTGGGAGAGAGAAAATAATTTTGAAAGAGGAAAATTAGGATTTAATTCTTTTCATATTTTTTACTAGGTGGTCGGGAAGGGGTCTTTATATTAGTAAGATTAAAAATTAGTTTGACCCCAAAAACAATAGGCGAAAAAAATTTTAAGTAAAAAAAATCAGGTGAGTCACTTTTATCGAACAGCACTATATATATATATATATATATATATATATATATATATATATATAACAGAAACATTTCCCTCATCAACTAGATGAGCCACAGGTTTAAGCTTATCAACCAGATTCTATTTACATTATTCGGACTATTGTCCTCATCTTTGTCACTATATTTATTACAACGGTTCAGCCGTTGTACGCTCCAACCTTCTTCAGGTGGTTGGAATGTCGAACTGAACCCTGTTCTAGTTCCACGTGCTATGTTTTTAATCGATGTCAGTTATCGGTTATCTCCTGTTAATTCACCTCTCCAAGTTCTTCACTGCCGCAACCAGGTATTGAACTTATATTCTTTGGGTCCTGTCACTGGATCTAAACAACGCCTTTATCCACTGTGCCAACAAATGACATATGTCCATGGCTTCCGAAAAGTTCCATCTACCCATTTCCACTAATAAAGCTTTGGAACTGATGGCATGAACCAGTCTAGAACAGTCTACCCCAGTGAGCGAAATAAAGAGTTCAGTTCGACATTCCAACCACCTGAAGAATGCCGGAGCGTACACTGGCTCAGTTTTAACCCCGCATTGAAAACGGCCTTGTGCCACATCCAGCCTCGCGGGGAGGTCATTTAAATAACCTTACTTCGGCAGTTAGTTGGAGATTCGTCTCCAGCCGTGTTGGTTCATAGCCTCGTGTGGGTTCCTCTCTGCCTCCGGGTAGAGAGGAACCCACACGAGGCTATGCCAAAGGGCGGAATTTCGTCTCGGGTGATAGACAACTACCCGACCTCGTATATATGGGGTCTACATGGAATTTTTG